ATTTTAATGTGATATTAATTTTAATTTTTATTATATTAGGAAAAGTATATATAATATTTTCCAAATCAAATCTTATCAAACCTTTCAACCAATGAACTGGAATGGTTCATACTTCAGACAACCTTTTGTAATGCGTCTAAATTATACTACACTCCGATTTAACCATCTTACCCGTCAAAATTGGTATAACCCGGTCCACATCATTGGGTTATCAGTCTACAAGATTTGATAAGAATTAAAATTGCTTTGAAAATATAAAATACACTTTCCAAATATGATGAGTATTATAATTAATATCACATTAAAATTTTCTTTTTTAGTTAAAAACCTAATTTGGTAGGTTTTTGCATTTATTTTATTTTCTTCTTTGATTGGTAACTGTTAGCTCATGATCTAACGGTTCATATAAAAAGTTCCCATCAGAGGCTATGGTGTAAAATTTTCATAATCGCGCAATTTTTTTTTTTTTAACACTACAACACTTCTACTTAAAAACATAATTTTCCTGATCGTGCTTCTTGATATATATTTAAAGATAATATAAAAAATTTAGGTTTGGTCAATGTTCCCGGGTTCAGTAGTAGATCCGCTCCTAACTTTTAGAAATTATACATTAAACTTCTAAAATTATGTTTTTATTTTGTTTGCCACTCAAGTTCTTAAAATTATACTTTGTACCTTAAATTATAATAATGGTTTTGTTTTATCCTCTCGACCTTTGATTTCACTACATTGAACCATTAACTATTAAAATTATTACAGTTTGCATAATTCATTAAATTTTTGTTTTGTGCAAATTTGTAAATTATAGAATATGTTAAATGAATAGTGCTATGATGTATTCAAATTAATAGTATAGTGATAAAGTAAAATCAGCGCCATAGTTAAGAGTACATATTATAATATATCCAAACACTAAGTGTTCTAAGTTCAAAACCATTTAGAATATGCATTTTTAGATATTTGTTATCCTTCTATATCTCTCGCTTCACATTTTGTCAAAAGTATGATGAAATCTAAGTGTACTCGAATAATTATGTGATGAAATTAAACTTGAATAATTGATTATTTGATGAATTGAATTAATTTTTATATATAATTGTTTGACTAGTTTCAATTAATCTTATTCATTTGGTTAAAAATAATAATTATAGCGTAGATAAAAACTTGTTTTTATAGAAAAGTGAATTGAACTATTTAACATAGGTCTGTCAAGTGTCGATCGTGTCAAGTGATACGGTTTCGTGTCAAAAAATATTCTACCCATACTTAATTTATCTATTAATTTGTGTTTAACGAATTGTGTTATATAGGGTTCGTATCGTATATGAATCATGTATAATTAGTATATAAATAATTTATGTCGTGTATTTCTTCTTATTGACTTTACCCATATCTTATTCGTTAATTTTTTAATTGTGTCGTGTCGGGTTCACTCGTTTACTAAACAAATGATTTAAAGAATAGTCAATTTCTCGAATTTTGTATTGTGTCATGTTGTGTTAATGGGTTGGATCGTATTTTGACACCCCCAGTTTAACAAAATTTTTGTTAGAGTAGTTTGAGAAATAAAATAAAAAACTCAATTTCACAAAAAAATACAATGTATTTTCAATTATAAATTTGTCAAAGTGGTGTTTACACAACATCTATATATAAATAACCTTTATGATAGGTGATAAATATCTTGTACAATTCTTAGGGGTAATCAACGTACCCCTATCAGTGAGGAAAATCTTTGGCTTTATCGAACATACATGGAATTGGAGGTAACATTCTATCGATGTTAAGTCATGGACAAGTTCCTTCAACTCTTTTTCTAAATATATTGCATTGAACTTGGATCCCTAATAATCGTTTTCATGTATTGCCTCACATTTGTAATATAAAATAAGACAGACTTAAATAAACTTATTCGATAGTCTCAAATAGACTCATTCAATAATCATCAACATCATTCTTAAAACTATTAACTTTTGATGTTACTTTTCTTTCCTCACTCTTCACTCTTTCTCTCTGGGATCTTCACTCCTTACTCCAAATTAAAACGATTGGTTTACGTTACATCATGCCTTCAATTACGAATTAAGCACAATATCAGATAAAACTATAATATTAAGTCACCAATATCACATAAAGTCATCATCCAATAATAATTAACACATGAAAGTAAGTGGATTCTAATTTTGTAACTACTTCTCATGTTAAAAAACACAACCATCCAACCCTTAAGGGTGGTTCAAGTTAAGTAATTGATCATAGTTTTTAGTAATTCAAATATTTCTGGTTCATTTTCATATCCCTTCAAAGTTAACCATTTATGCTATAAATTAGCTCAAATCATGGTAGTCAACTGTTGAGTTCGAGAGAATAGTTGACACAAACCTGAATACCCAATAATAAAAAATAAAAAAATCGCCCTATATAAAAGAGTGGTGTTCACATCATCCACTTATAAATTTGTTAGCGGATGTGATACTACGTGAGAGTATTAATCACAGTCATGTTCCGTTTGGTATAATGAAAAAATAAAATGATGAAAAGTTGGAAGAATAAATAAAATATCGTGTTTGGTGAGGAAGGAAAATAGGAAAGATAGAAAAGTGGATGAATTAACTTTCCTTCTAACTTACAAAAATCAATTTCTCCAAAATCAGAAAAAAAAAGAATAAAAAGATTAATTATTTGTATTGAAATGTATCTTATTTGTCTATATATATATTTATATATACGTATATTATGTATATATTAATTTCATATAAAAATACAATGATAAAATATGTATTTATATATATATTTTAAAAAATTAAATAAAAATAAAATTTTAAAATTTAAAATTTAAAACAAAAAAAAAATATTTTTTCCATCTTAGCTGGAGGTGAAAATTTTCGACTCAATACGATGACACGACTCGAACCTGACACAAATTTGATCATAATTCGACACAAACTTGAAAATGACCTGACACGCGAACAAGAAATATAAAAAGCTCATATTCAGTTCAACATGTCAAATTCAAAATTGACACCATCAACCCGTCTATTTAAAAATAAACACTTTCTCTATTTTCCCGTTCGTATAATAACATGAAATTAACTTGTTTAATTAGTATTATATACATAAAATATTAATTATTTGTAATTATTTATTAAACACTGACATAATTATTATATAAAAATATATTTTTACTTATTATTATTATTATATTTGTTTAATTTAATTTTTAGTTTGTAGAAAAAATATTAACATGGATTCAATTAAGTGAAAATATAATATTAATGTTAAATTTTTTATTCAAAATTTATGTAGATCAACACAAATACGACACGAAAATAAACTGGTCAGCTCGCAACTCGACACGATACAATTAGTTAAATGAGTTGAGTTATATGACTTAATTGTCATTCTTAATTTTAATCAACAAAAAAAAAATTAATCATTTTTATTTTTCATCCATTTTATCAAATACAAAGAAAGAAAAATGTATCATTTCTATTTTTCTTTCTTAAATAATAAAAAATATCTACCTCATATGTTTTTATCATTCCTACGTTCTATCATACGTACCAAAGGAACATCAATCACCCAAACCATCTGCCACGTCACCTGTTTACTTTTTAACTTCAATACTTAGGTTTCGAATTTTGATTGGTTACCCACGCAGGCAAAGAACACAAATTAAGTCACAATAAAAACAAGGGTTAATTTCATTTTGTACTCTGAAAGATTGTTCAAATTTTAATTTATACTCTCAAAGATCAAAAATCTCAATTTATACTCTCAAAGATAAAAATTTGTATCAATGTGTACCCCTAAAGATCAAAAATCTCAATTTGTACCCTCAAAGATAGAAATTTATATCAATGTGTACTCCAAAAATAAAAAATCTCAATTTACACTCTCAAAAATAGAAATTTGTATTAATGTGCACCTAAAACTAAATTAATAAATTACACATAAATCCCCTTATATTTGTTAGTTAATCATTTAGACCTCTTCACATTTAGAATATTACTCCTACATCTTATGACATTTGTGCACGTATAACACATAACTCATTTTCATTGATATCTATTAATATAACCGTTAAAAAATATAATTTTATCCTAATAAAAAATTATAATTTCATATTACCCTTTATTTTATAGGTTCAATATACTCTAAAGTTCAAAATTTAGTTTACCATTTGAATGTCTAATAAAATGTAAATATTTATATAATGTTTTTCATATTACCTTTTATATAAATATCTACATTTTATTAGACATTCAAATGGTAAGATTGATTTTCAACTTTAGAGTATATCGAATCCACAAAATAAAAGGTAATATGAAATTATAATTTTATATTAGAATAAAATCATATTTTTTAACGATTATATTAATAGATATTAACGAAAAGTGGTTATGTGTTATACATGCACAAACGTCATGAGATGTAAGAAAAATATTCTAATTTTGAAGGAGTTCAAATGATTAAGTGACAAACATGGGGGATCTAGGTATAATTTATTAATTTAATTTTAGGTGCACATTGATACAAATTTCTATCTTTGACGGTACAAATTGAGATTTTTTATCTTTGGGGATGCACATTGATACAAATTTATATCTTTAAGGGTACAAATTGAGATTTTTGATCTTTGGGGGTGCACATTGATATAAATTTTTATCTTTGAGGGTATAAATTGAAATTTTTGATCTTTGAGAGTACAAATTAAGATTCGAACAATCTTTTAAGGGTGCAAAATGAGATTAACCCTAAAAACAATAGCATTCTTTCATGTTATTTCCTCGTATTGCCCTCTTCTTTTACTAAAAATCCCGACATATCCCCAACCGCTGTCGAATCCCAAAAAGAAGCCATTGCCTTCTCTCTCTAACCTCTCAGTTTCTCCGGAGAGGTCTCTCTCTCTCTCTCTCTCTCTCTCTCTCTCTCTCTTTCTCTTTCTATTTCTCTCTCTCTCCCGATTTGTCGATCGGACAATCCTCCGTCCAACCATGACTATGATGACTCCTCAACCGTTGGATGTAAGTACTCCAGTCATTCTGAGCCGGAACATTCAATTTTACCCCGTCTCTATTTCTCTCTCTCTCTCTCTCATTGTATTAGTCTTTATATCTACATGTATGTATATATGCCTATATGTATATATATACTTATATGTATGATTATGTAAAAGTACGTGTGAGGCTTTTGGTGTTTTGGTTATAGTTCTGTGATCGACTAGGGTTTTGGAGTAGATTGGGAGTAGGGAGGGTTTGAATTGGATTGTATGATGGAATTGAATTGGCCTGGTTGAGAAATTTAGGGCTGTGATTCAGGGGTTAAGGCTAGGGTTTGCTGGATCAGAGGTTTCTGAACATGTGTGTGCGTGTGTGTAGCAACAAGAAGACGAGGAGATGCTGGTGCCGCACACGGAATTGGTTGAGGGTCCGCTGCCCTTGGAAGGTCCACTGCCATTGGAAGGTCCTCAGCCCATGGAAGGTTTATTGTTATACTCAACCTTCTTTAGAATGTGATTTTATGATGGTTGTTGAATTTGTTTTGTGTGTATTGTGACTTTTTATTGAACTTGATAATTGATATAGTAGTAGCAGCACAAAGAGAAACTGCTAAAACAGTGGAGAACCAAGCAGTTGATGAGCCCCAAGCGTCTAGGTTTACGTGGACAATTGAGAATTTTTCTAGGTTGAATGTCAAGAAGCTTTACTCCGACATATTTACTGTTGGTGGTTATAAATGGTAATTGCATCATATCCACTTGGTTTAGTTTGCAAATTTAGCATGTGTGCATTGCTGAGTACATTTGACTGATTTTTGTCTGACATTGATTTGGGCAGGCGGGTGCTTATTTTTCCAAAAGGAAACAATGTGGAACATATGTCAATGTATTTAGATGTGGCAGATTCGGTAACATTGCCATATGGGTGGAGCAGATACGCCCAATTCAGCTTGGCCGTTGTTAATCAAATCCATACCAAATTGACAATAAGAAAGGGTATATCCTACGCAGCTTATGCTTATATGGTTATGCCCACCCTCAATTTTTTTTTAAAAATTACATATATACATTTATATATTCTAAAAATTATACACACATTTTTTACTTGTGCCTTCCCTATAAATTTCTTACTTCAATTGTTTTGTTGTTTTTATTGTATTAAGGTTTCTGCAGTTGACCTTGATATTCTTATTTATGAATTTTTAATTTTATATTGTTAATTTGAAAGTGAAAGTGCTCGCAATTGACTTTTATTTTATGCGAGAACTCGTCTATATTTTATTGTAATTGGTTAAATAGAAAAAAAATTAGAATGTGTACTTAAAGTGCCCAATGAATTTCTCCTCTAGATGGAAGAAAATTCTCTTTAGCGGCTCTTGAAGTGGATTCATTTTGTGGTAATAATGTTTGTAATGATTACCCTTCTGTGACAAAACTTATTTCTGTTAAAAAATATTAATTCTTGAAGTGATTGGTTTTCGCCTCTCTCCCATATATCCAGACATCAAATTAATCTTTAGTCAAAAGGATGATAAGTGTTAACCGAAAGAGCAGAAGTGGAACAAATAAGAAAAAGAAAGGAAACTCTTTGTTTATACTGTACTATGGAAACTCTTTGTTTATACTGTACTAACATACATATAAACTCACGTCAAAGAGGAGGCAAATTAGTTAACTTACACAATTATTATTGCAAGATACCGTGTGCCTATCTTAAAATCTCACACCAACAAATTTATCTGGGTCTGAAGATTGAGAGCAAATTGCTTATTTGGTTATGCTAAATGGTGCAATAGGGTGAAGGAGAAAGTTATTTTGATCAATTCTTAACACTGATTCCATTAGTCTTGTGCGGGGTGTATTGGACAGTGGACACTGATGAGGGAGACTGCTGTAGCTTAAAAAAATGGTTATTCTCTGTTGATTAGTCTCATTTTAGAACAGTTGATATTATTCACCCAAAGTGGCTGCTTTCAAACACAAGCCATTCTCACATGTTCTATAACAGAGTTTTGCCGTTGCACCTAGCAACGTCCCCGTGGTATGAGAAGCTTACTAATAGAAAATTTGATGACTGGTTGGATCAAAGTTAAGCTGAGTTTGATAAGGAATTTGAACTTGTTTATTTTTATGTTCCTCAACTCGTGTTTAGAGGTTAACATGCCCTGTATTTGTCTAACACTGGATGAGCTTCTTTCTCATTTCACCAGCATAATCTGCTCACATATCATCCATCTCTCAGACTTGGTGTTGCTTACAATTCTGTCATCTGAATTTTGCAGACACTCACCACCAATTCCATGCAAGGGAGAGTGATTGGGGCTTTACGTCTTTCATGGCTCTTTGTGATCTTTATGATCCCAGTAGAGGGTATATTGTGAATGATACAGTTGTTATTGAAGCTGATGTTGCTGTACGTAAGGTCATTGATTATTGGACATATGACTCAAAGAAGGAGACTGGTTATGTTGGACTTAAGAATCAAGGAGCAACTTGTTACATGAACTCTCTCCTTCAAACACTGTACCATATTCCTTACTTCAGAAAGGTTAATAATGTGGCTTTTATTGTTCTTTTTAAGTCCATGATTTGTGTAATTGATTTACCTAGAAGTAAACATCTAAGTTTGACACATCTATGTCAGGCTGTGTATCACATGCCAACAACGGAGAATGATAATCCCACAGGAAGCATTCCTTTGGCTCTTCAGAGTTTATTTTACAAGCTTCAGTATAATGACACCAGTGTTGCAACAAAAGATTTGACCAAATCTTTTGGATGGGACACATATGATTCTTTCATGCAGCATGATGTGCAAGAACTTAATAGAGTTTTGTGTGAAAAGCTTGAAGATAAGATGAAGGTATGGTTTAACAGCTGCATCCTTCAATATTCCTTTTGTTCCAGATCTGATAATAGTTCTTACTTGTTCAGGGAACTGTTGTAGAAGGGACAATACAGAAGTTATTTGAAGGGCACCATATGAACTACATTGAATGTATCAATGTGGACTTCAAATCTACTAGAAAAGAATCATTTTATGGTATGCACCATATGAACTACATTGTTCTTCCATGGTTAATGTCAGTGCATCAACTAATTAAATTTTATATTGTATTGCAGACCTTCAGCTCGACGTTAAAGGATGTCGAGATGTTTATGCTTCATTTGACAAGTATGTGGAAGTTGAACGTCTTGAGGGCGACAACAAATATCATGCTGAGGATCATGGTTTGCAGGTCAGTTGCTGTTTATACATGATAACTGAGGTGGAAGTGTTTTGGTTTGGTACCATTGGTTGTGAGACCCCTACTGGGTTGTTGCATTGTGCTCTCAGTTGTTAAACCAATCATTGTTGATTCTGTGGATTCAAAGCAATTTGAGATTTGAGGTATTATTGTACTGTAATGATTTACAAAGGTAGGATCCATCATCTTGGTAGGAATTCTTTCAAAATTGGAAAATGACGGGCTTTTAAGATATTCAGTACCCATGATTTGCCCGTCCCAAACCAAATAATCAAAAGAGGGTGTGCTTTTATGAAGCACACAGAGAACATATAAGTGAATAAATGGCCCAAAGGTGCCAAGACTCTGTTTTCACTTCTTTTAGAGCTGGACAACTGCAAATTTCATCTGGTTAGGGTGGCAAAATCAATCTCAGCTGGATGAGATTAGCAAACTGATTTGGTAGAGGTGGCAGTCAATACCATCTACTTGTGATTGACTACACTAGGTGATGCAGTCATTGCTAGATCCAGCAAGAAACAGTGCTAGTATGGCACATTGGGTGATATATTTAAAAGCTTCTCCCACAACAGCAAATCCTTCTTTTCTATAGTTTCTCATCAGAACCAATTAATCGCATAAGTGATTTCATAATTGGATTTTCAATTTGAGACCGCAACCTATTATTAGTTGGCCCTCTGGAAATTCCATCTATTAAATATTTTTAGTGGAGTGACGGTTTGTATTGAATGTGTAGCCATTTGTAATGTCATTTGTCTTCTTCAAATACCCTGGATCCTTTATTTCATCTTTCAATCCTACAGGGTCAAGCTTTCCACTACCTTTGTCTGTCATAATCTTCTTCAGTCACTATAATTTGGGGTTCTTACAACTCCATGATTATTGTTGACTTTTTTCTCATTTGGCCTAACCTTTGCAGAGACACTTCCTTTTCGTTGACCAAATCAGGGAATAGAAAGCTTTGCTGAAGTTACTACGGCAGAATATATCGAACCAGTGAACACACTGTTGTTCTGGTTAAAACCATATTAGAAGCATATCATTTTTGTTTATTAAAGAAGGAACCTTGTCAATTTCATTTATAAGAAAATCATTGATCTGGCAGTTGCAGTGACCACTTCTGAACAGAAAGAGTTGCGAATGAATAATCAGCAGTATCATGTGTGATTGCCCTTTTATTGCCTCAAACTTTATGTTCCAAATGACTGCTTCGAGAGACTAAAAAGCAAGCTACCTAAGTTTGTCCTCTCAGTTGGCCATAAAGGAAAACTACCCAATTTTGGCTTGAGAAAACCGTTTTTTGGTAGCGGAGTTGAATTGTTGTGCACGTGACAATCAAATTAAACACAAACATTTATGTATTCATTTTAATCACTTGTGAAATGCAGACTTTGTATTCATTGCAAACGTGTAGTTTCTTGGTTGGTAAAATTTAGCCAATGGAAGATGTGTTAGAGATAGATGGGGAGTGAGGATGGAATCTGTGGTTTGATTGAATTCTTCATGATGGGAATGTGTATCTGTTCCTTTTCTATAAAGTTCCTGAGGTAAATGATTGCTATGTTGATTTCAGGATGCTAAAAAGGGCGTCTTGTTTATGGACTTCCCTCCCGTTCTCCAACTTCAGCTGAAGCGGTTTGAATATGATTTCATGCGGGATACGATGGTGAAGGTCAGTTGTTGGAATTTTTTTTTTTATGAATTCCCACTATTTTCTTATAACTGGTTTACACAATTTGCATGCCTCTATTTATTTCCTAAGATCCAATTACCCATGGAATAGTAAAAGTGAAGTCTGTATACTTTATGCAAATTTAGCTTTAAAGGAAATATATGACTTGGCAATACAAGGCTATAACAAGAGAGCGATAAGAACAAACAATTTGAGTTGAACTAGATGGTGCTGGTAAAAATTCTCGAAAACTTTTCCATTTTTGTATACTTTTTTTCAATTTCCATGATCAGCTATAGGCCTGAACAAATACCTTTTGAATGCTGTTTTTCCTTCTCTATACCAAACAGATCAACACATTAGGTGCCATTCCTCCTCTTTGTAGTAATACTTTCTTTCATTGTGCAGATAAATGATCGTTATGAATTCCCCCTACAACTTGACCTTGATAGAGAGGATGGCAAATATTTATCCCCTGACGCTGATAGGAGTGTTCGCAACCTTTACACACTTCATAGGTATCTTTCTTTGTTCTTTTTTTTGGTAAGTGTCAATTTGTGATTGTTCTAAGTAAGGATCTAATTTTTTTTTCAGTGCATTGTTTTGGTCGTCTAGAAAAACAGAAAAATTTCGAAAATATAATAGAAATGAATTAAAAAATTGAAAATTTATTTCCAAAATATTGGTTGAAATACACCAAAACATCTTGAAACATTATGAAACAATGGTGAAAACATGCTGAAATATGAAATACCTCAAAATATTTGAAAATATTTCAAAGCATTGGAATTTCGATCCCATCACTAATTCGTTTTGGTCTTCTTGAAAACGGAAATGTTTTAGACGTTTTGAATTAAAATTTTGATCCTTATCTCTAAGTATGTTTATCGAAAAATGGGAATCAACCCCTTGGATATAAGAAAAAGATTGTTTACCACTTACCCATCACAAATCCCTCTATGGTGGGATACTTGTCGTGGTACAAGGTCACGGTATTGATAATTAACTCAGAGGGCACTGATACAAATTGGTTATAGTGACGTGGCATGATATCGGCCGATACGCACAAATGCTAGATAAAAGGTCTAAAATTTTTTTAAATGATAGAAAAATATAAACAACAATATGCATGTATGATATGTCCAAAATACATTATCTAGCACATTAAACATTGTGAAGTGAAATATGAGGGTGCTACCGCGAATATTTATCATCATCCTTCTACAAATAATATATGGATAATTGTAGGTTGAAAAATATATATGCCTAATGATAATATGTCCACTTGTATGTGAAAAAAAACTTAAAAAATATATCAATTCGTGTGATTAGTTCTTAAACAAATATATATTATAGATATAATGTTGTAAAATATATATAATATTACAATACGTATAAGCTTTAAAATAGACTCTACCTATTTACCTACAAAAACGTTTAACATCATTTTATCCAAAAAATGCTTAAATGAAACTTTTAAGAAATTACAAAAAATAAAAGAAAATTAGCAACTCATTTAAAGTAGGGCCTTTGGCTCTGTGAGTTTGTTTGACGTCGAGAGAGAGGGAGAGAGACCACAAGCTGAGAGATGCGAAGCGATAATCTATACGAATAAGCCACACTCGCTGCGAAGAAACTATGATGATGGGTTGTTGCATGATGACGACGAGTTTTGTGGATTTCAATCTTACAATGAAGGAGAAGAAGAAGAAAAATAAGAGGAGAAGAGGACTCTTTGTAGTCATCTTCACTATGTGGGTATTGATTTTACGGGTTGTCTTGAAAATTATTTGAATTCCTTCCTCTATTTTTGTGAAAAATTGGGGTATGTTATAGGGTTTTTGTTTCTGAAAAATTTGCACAATTTGATGATGAATCGGGTGAATTTCCAAGGTTTTATAGAGATGGATCTCTTCTTTTTCTTCTCTCCGCCTTTTTCTTTGTTTTTTTCTATTGTTTGAGAGCATAAGAACTGATTGTCACTGTATCGATTTGTTTCTGTTTTGACTCATCTGATTCATATGATACAACTCCGAGATGGGTCGATACTACCAGGTTGTAAATAAGTCATTGTCGATTCAGTTGCGTCTCGCTATATTCTTGTAACAGGTTTTAGTATTGGATTAGAGGCGGCTGAGGTGGATATTACTCGGCCGAGACGCCGAGTTGTATCGGACGACCGATACTTTGAATTAGAGGTGGTAATCTTAACCTATTACCCATTAATCCGTCTAACCCGTTCATAAATAAATGGGTTGGATACCTATATTAATTAATATGAGTTCTAAATAGATTGGGTAATATGATTCATTTTAATTAAGTGAGTTAATATGAATTATAAATGGGTACCCATTGGGTTGAGTATTTATCTTTTTATTAATTAACACAAGTAATAAAATTAAATAAATATACTAATATATCAAAAAATATACACACTATTACACCAAAAAATACATATATATACACTAGTACACCAAAAACACACACACTAGTACACAAAAAACACACACTAATACACCGCCCATGACCCACGACCCACAGCCCACTGACCAACCCATAGCCCACAATCGACCTGACCTGTTATATGTGTATTTTTTTTATTAAATGTGTTTTAGTTTTTGTGTTAGTATACATGTGTGTATTTTTGATATATTAGTGTGAATATTTTTAGTGTATTAGTTTGTGTGTGTTTTGGTGTATTAGTGTTGTGTGTATGTTTGTATTTTGGTGTACTAATGTGTCTATTAAGAATTTTAATTATTTTATGGGTTAATCGGTTTAACTCAATCCGTTATAAATCCAACCCATTATAACCCATTTACTATGTGAATAAAAAATGGATTGGATTTATTTTAATCCAATTCAATTTAACCCAACCCATAACTAGCCCAACCCACCCATTTGCCACCTCTACTTTGAACCATGATTCTTATGCATTAGGCATTTTTTTTTTAAAAGTTAATTTAGTGCAGCCTTCGTTGGGATCTAGGTTGGTCACTTGGATCATTATTTTAAAAATTTGCTCTCTATATGCTATTTATTGTGTTAAATCAATTTTTAATTATGTCATCCCTCATCTTCTCTCTTTTGTTTTACCTCTATTCACATAGGATTACATACCAAAATTGGTCATTGCATAGATGCAAATATGCGTTAGCTTGCAGTTATTGCAGACGACCAAATCAACTTGACCTTCAGCCCTTACTTAGTTGTTGATTAATCCCCGCCTGATGCTTTTATCATCACATAAGCTCATGATGTTTGCTTTTTGCTTGTTTCATATACATCTTAGCATTCCCTTTTTTATCACTTCTTAGACTTTTGTTTCTGAATGTAGGATGTTTTTCCCTTGAATAACGTTTAACCTTTCAGTATCAAATACAACTTTCTGGTTGAGAGACAGGATCATGCTGTTCTCTTTGTGGGTAACCTTTTATTTAGCCTCCCCTTTCTTGAAGACAGCATCTTTTGAACCATCACCTATTTTCTTCCCTTAGTGCTTCAAATTATTTGTTGCAAGTGTTGTACAAGTCTTTGCTAATTCTGCAACGATTTTTTGTTCATGTGGCTTTTAGGGTTTCGATCATGCACACCTATTGTATTAATGGTTTCTCCTATCTGTTTACGTTATTGCTCCGTTAATTTACCCCCCTTATTTTTGTCAAAAGTTATGTCTTTAGCACAAGTGCAAGATCTTCAATACATTTGTTGATATGTTGCGATGGATTATATGTTTGTTGTGATGCTACTCTTACATTCTTGAAGATCTACTACATTGCATATGGGATTTATATTTGTATATATGCTGTTGTCCTTGCTGCTGTGTCATTTGGCAGTGCTTGAACCTATGTTGGAGGTACACCTTTCGGCGATTATTTAAAAAGTAACCTTTAAACAAGTCAATCTTGGTAATATACATGAAAGATGGTGTTGCTTAGTGTTAAGAATAGTAGGGTAGTATGTGTAAATTGTTAATAGTAAGAGGGTGTATGTGTAATTCTTATTATTGTAGGTTAACTATAAATACAAGTGATGTATGAGAGCTAGGTTAAGTTTTTAACCTCTCTCTTTGCCTCTAATATTATGTTAATCCTCCAAACTTAGCATGGTATCAGAGCACAAATCCTAAATATATTAACACTGTTGTGGTGTGGTCTCTGTTCATTGCTCACTTGCGTCGTTCGTGGTGGTGGTGTTGTGGTGGCGTGATTGCTTATGGTGGTGGTGTGGCTTCGGTTCACCGTCGAGTAGTACTCTTTGTGGTTGTGGTGTGTGGTGGCTGTGGTGGTCTTGCTGTTGTCGTCGCTTGTGGTGTGTGCTGTGTCACAGACCAGAGGATCCTTTTGGAACCCTAATCAGCGAAGAAGACAGGATCCAACCTGAGCGTTGGATCTAGTTCAAATCGGGTCAAACTAACTTAAATTGTTTTTAAGTCCAATCCAGGTCCAGCCACGATTCATCTTAGACTGGATCACGGTTCAGGCCGGTTCAGCAGTCCAGAGGGCCTAACCTGTCTAGTTCAGTGGTTTAGGGAGCCTTACTGGTCCGGTTCAGTTGTTCAGCCTAGTTTTCTAACCCGATTCAGTATTCCAGCAAGTAGAAGGGGTCCGGTTCAGTGGTCCAGAGAGCCTTACTGGTCCGGTTCAGTGGTTCTGCCATGTTTTCCAACCCGGTTCAGCATTCCAGCAAGTAGGAGGGGTTCGGTTTAGTGGTCTAACCCACTTTTCCAGTCCGGTTCAGTGGTCTAACCCACTTTTCCAGCCCGATTCAGTACTTTAGCTGCTTTTTTTCTTTCGGTTCAGTTCTCCAACAACTTTCTTTTTTCCTGGTACTTGCAACAGCTACTTTGTTTGCTATTTGCTACACTATTATAGAACCCAAGCAAGATATCAAGTCCCTTACTCCATCTTTGCCTCCTTCGACTCTTATTAATGGTCTCATGACCTCTGTCAAATTTAATGGGACTAATTACACTTTATGGTTTTCATCTGTTCAAGTTTTTCTTCGAGGCAAAGGATTTAAGAAATATTTGGTGAATTCTAAACCCAAGGAAGACACTTTTGGGTATGATCAGTGGGAATAAGAGAATGCTCAGATTATTTCTTTACTATTGAATAACATTGAGTCTAGTATTAGTTTTACTCTGCTCTACCTTGACATTGCTAAGGAGATATGGGATCACTTAGCCACTATGTATTCTGGTATAGACAATTTTACCCGAGCTTATGAGGTATGCAAAGAGTATTTTCGACTAGAATAGAGTACTTTGAGTATTGAGAATTATTACTCTCACATTCGGGGAGTCTGTGAGGAGATGAAGACCTACCATCCATTTACTACTGATGCAGCAGTTTGGCAGAAACAACATGAGGACATGAATGTTATTAGGTTTTTGGTAGGTTTGAAACCTGAATATGAGGGTATTCGTTCTCAGATTTTGGGTGGCTCTACTTTTTCCTCACTATTTGAGGTTTTCTCTTGCATACAACGTGCTACTTTGTCTACTTCAGGTATCAATCATGGTGTTTTCACTGATCGCTCAGTTCTTGTGGTTCCTAGTAGCCATATTGATGGTCATCGAGGTGGTCGTGCGGGTGGTCATGGGAGTCGTAGTGGACCACGTTCTTGTACTCACTGTGGTCGTGGAGGGTATACTGTTGATTTTTGTTGGGATTTACATGAAAAACCTTCTAGTACGGCGAATTAGGTTTCTTATCAGGATGACACCTCTGTTGCGGCTTCCATACCTCTGTCAGCTCCACCAGATACTGGGTCGGTTACTATTATACGAGAAGAGTATGCTCAATTCCTTTCCTAGTAACAGGTTGTTCCATCTCCCTCCACCGTTACTTTTGCCCAGTCAGGTACTGCTTTTCCACCTGTTTATTATCCTCCATTCGCAGTCCTTGGATCGTAGACTTTGGCACCTCTGACCATATGACTGGTGCGTTTGATGTTTTTTTTACTTATCAGTCTGTTACTTTCACACGTAGTGTTACTCTTGCTAATGGTACTTGTTCTCAAGTTTCAGGTCTGGGAATTACTCACTTGAGTCTTGACGTGTCCTTATCTTCCGTGTTATTTGTTCTTCAGTTTCTTTTTAATTTACTTTCCATTAGCAAGATAATCCGTTCTCTCAATTGTTCTGTAACTTTTTATCCCTTTTATTGTGTCTTTCAGGATCTCAAGACGAAGAGGAAGATTAATACGGGACATGAAGTTGGTGGCTTATATTACTTCGACTTTGATTCACTTACCCGAACAGTACAGACTTCGTTGTCTCCTTTTCAATGCCATTGTCGTCTTGAACATCTCTTTCTCCAGAATCTGAAGCGCCAAGTTTCCAGTCTTAGTTATGTGTCGTCTTTGCCTTGTAAAGCCTGTCAACTTAGTAAGTATCACCGTATGTCATTTCAGTCTAGAGTCAATAATCGTGTGTCTAGTCCATTTGAATTAGTCCATTCTGATGTATGAGGTTCAATCAAGAATATTTCATCTAATAAATATCTTTATTTTGTTATATTTGTGGATGACTATTATCGTGTGACTTGGTTATTTTTTATGAAAGCTCGGTCTGAATTATTCTTCATATTTGCGACTTTTCGTAATGAAATAAAAACTTATTTTGATTGTCGTATATGTACTTTACGTTTCGATAATGCTCGAGAATATGAATCTGATCATTTTTCAGCTTATCTTAGTAAAACTGACATTATTT